TGAAAATATCTAAAAGTATTCATCTTCAGAGAAATTAAGGTTAGAAGGTTTTGCCCATAAGTAGGTCCTTTAAACATTTAATAAATAACTGATTCAGCCTACTATATACCAGGTCTTGTCTTAGGCACTGTGAAAGGAAGGACAAATATACTTCCCTCAAGGATATCACACTCAAATGGAAAAGGACATAAAACAGTAATTGCAATTAACTGGGAAGATAGATATCTGTATAATGGGCTGTAAGAGTAACAGAAAACAGGATCTCCCTTTTCCTGAGGGACCTGGCAAGGCTTCACCAAGTGCAGGGACATATTCACTGCGTTTGGAAGATAAATACTAGAAATAATTTGTCCTTCTTTATAGTCTGTCTCATCAAACCAAAAGAACTTTATTAACCTGATGTGCTTAATTCATCCAGCTTTGAGCAACTGCTGTGTACCTTACACAGGGATAAGCCCTGGGGATACAACTGTGAATAAGAGGCAGGACATCCCATAGAAAAAGAAGCACCAAGAGTAATAATATGTAGTTAGTTGTGATAAACGCTAGGAAGGAGAAACACAGGATAATAGATTCAGGTACAACAAGAAGGCCTAAACTAGTCTGTGGGGTCAGGGAAAGCTCTCTCAAGGAAATACTATTTCACTTATTTGAGCATGCATAAATTTATCCCCATCTGTTCATACAGATGAAGAACTGTAATGCAGTTCTGTCATGTACATTAGGGACAAACAAAGCCCTTGGCACCTTATTTTGGCAGAGGTAGGTTTTATGAGCAGAGAGGGAGGGCTTATTTATTTAATCTATTCAAATATTTTTAGATGACAGAGCATCAATTCATTGTTAATTTCTAGGGGTATTAGGTACTAAATATTTCTAACTCTGCAAAACTATATCTAGGCAGCATCTGCCAGCGTGATCCATGCTGGCCCAATTATTTGCCTCTCTGACTCTGAATTCTCTTTCTGCCTTATTCCCAACCCATTCTGACTTGATTGGCTCCTTCTGTGCCAGGACCGAGCCACTACCCCACCAGCAACCTCCCGGTGCCTGGCCTCTGTCTTGCCCTCACTGGCCCATCTGGTGGATTCCTCTCTGATTCAGACTTCGTGGCACCAGGGTAGTCTACACATCTACCCCATCTTTGCTGGGGTGATGCTTAGCAATGCCCTACAACCCTGAGAAGTTGTCGTTACTTTTTTGAGTGTGACAGAGCTGTAAGGAAGGAGCTTCAAAACTGAAGGCTAAGGATATTTTTGTTAGTTTTTGACAATAAGAGAGAGGTCCGACTAATAAAGAAGGTACAACCAACCAGTTCAGAGTAGGAGAAATATATCTTAGATAAACACATTCAATATATATTTTTACTATAAGTAATAGTAGTAGTGACAAATAATGAAATAAGAATTTGTTTCTGTGTATTTAATGCCTTCTTGGGTACATGGACTATGCCATCTCATTCCTCATCGTTAGAACTCACAGCATAAATTTAAAAACTTCAGTCCTAGCATGAACCTTATCATAATTCTATTGTTGTTGTTAGGTGCCATTGAATCGGTTCCCACTCATAGTGACACTATGCACAACAGAACAAAACACTGCCCGGTCCTGCGCCATCCTCACCATTGTTGCTATGCTTGAGCTCATTGTTGCAGCTACTGTGTCAGTCCATCTCATTGAATGTCTTCCTCTTTCTCGTTTACCAAGCATGATGTCCTTCTCCGGTGACTGATCCTGCCTGATAACATGTCCAAAGTATGTGAAACTCAGTCTTGCCATCCTTGCTTCAAAGGAGCATTCTGTCTGTACCTCTTCCAAGACAGATTTGTTTGTTCTTTTGGCAGTCCATGGTATATTCAATATTCTTCACCAACACCACAATTCAAAGATGTCAGTTCTTCTTCGGTCTTCCTTATTTATTGTCCAGCTTTCACGTGCATATCAGGCAATTGAAAACACCATGGCTTGGGTCAGGCACACCTTAGTTCTCAAGGTGACATCTTTGCTTTTCAACACTTTAAAGAGGTCTTTTGCACCAGATTTGCCCAATGCAATGTGTCCTTTCGATTTCTTGACTGCTGCTTCCATGGGTGTTGATTGTGGATCCAAGTAAAATGAAATCATTGACAACCTCAATCTTTTCTCCGTTTATCATGATGTTATTTACTGATCCAGTTGTGAGGATTTTTGTTTTCTTTATGTTGAGGTGTAATCCATACTGAAGGCTGTAGTCTTTGATCTTAATCAGTAAGTACTTCAGGTCCTCTTCACTTTCAGGAAGCAAGGTTGTGTCATCTGCATAACACAGTTTGTTAATGAGTCTTCCTCCAATCCTGATGCCCTGTTCTTCTTCATATAGTCCAGCTTCTCAGATTATTTGCTCAGCATACAGATTAAATAGGTATGGTGTAAGGATACGACCCTGACACACACCTTTCCTGACTTGAAACCATGCAGGGTTCCCTTGTTCTGTTTAAAAGACTACCTCTTGACCCATGTACTGTTCCTCATGAGCACAATTAAGTGTTCTGGAATTCTCATTCTTGGCAATGTTATCCATAATTTGTTATGATCCACACAGTCGAATGTCTTAGCATAATCAATAAAACACAGGTCAACATCTTTCTGGTATTCTCTGCTGTCAGCCAGGATCCATCTGACATCAGCTGTGATATCCCTGGTTCTATGTCATCTTCTAAATCCAGCTTGAATTTATGGCAGTTCCCTGTCAATATATTGCTGCAGCTGCTTTTGAATGATCTCCAGCAAAATTTTGCTTGCATGTGGTATTAATGATATTGTTCGATAATTTCCACATTCAGTTGGATCACCTTTCTTGGGAATAGGCATAAATATGGATCTTTTCCAGTTGTTTGGCCAGGTAGCTGTCTTCTAAATTTCTTGGCATAGATGAGTGAGCACCTCCAGTGCTGCATCCATTTGTTGAAACATCTCAATTGGTATTCTGTCAATTCCTGGAGCCTTGTTTTTCACCAGTGCCTTCAGTGCAGCTTGGACTTCTTCCTTTGGTATCATTGGTTCCTGATCATATGCTGCCTCCTGAAATGCTTGAATGTTGACCAGTTCTTTTTGGTATAGTGATGCTGTATATTCCTTCCATCTTCTTTTGATGCTTCCTGCATCGTTTAATATTTTCCGCATAGAATCCTTCACTACTGCAACTCGAGGCTTGAATCTTTTTTTCAGTTCTTTCACCTTGAAAAATGCTGAGCGTGTTCTTCCCTTTTGGTTTTCTATCTTCAGGTCTTTGCACATGTCATCGTAATACTTTACTTTGTCTTCTCGAGCTGCCCTTTGAAATATTCTGTTCAGCTCTGTTACTTCATCATTTTTTCCTTTTGCTTTAGCTACTTAACATTCAGGAGCAAGTTTCAGAGTCTCTTCTGACATCCATTTAGGTCTTTTCTTTCTCTCCTGTCTTTTTAATGACCTCTTGCTTTCTTCATGTATGATGTCCTTGATGTTATTCCACAACTCATCTGATCTTTGGTCATTAGTGTTCAACGGGTCAAATCTATTCTTGAGATGGTCTCTAAATTCAGGTGGGATATACTCAAGGTTGTACTTTGGCTGTCGTGGACTTGTTCTAATTTTCTTCAGTTTCAACTTGAACTTGCATATGAGCAACTGACGGTCTGTTCTGCAGTCATCCCCTGGGTTTATTCTGACTGATTATGTTGAGCTTTTCCATCGTCTTTTTCCACAGATGTAGTCGACTTGATTCCTGTGTATTCCATCTGGTGAGGTCCACGTGTATAGTTGCCGTTTATGTCAGTGAAAAAAGGTATTTGCAATGAAGAAGTCGCTGGTCTTGCAAAATGCTATCATGCGATCTCTGGCATCATTTCTGTCACCATGGCCATATTTTCCAACTACCGATCCTTCTTCTTTATTTCCAACGTTCACATTCCAACCACCAGTAATTATCAATGCATCCTGATTGCATGTTTGATCAATGTCAGACTGCAGAAGTTGGTAAAAATCTTCAATTTCTTCATCTTTGGCCTTAGTGGTTAGTGGGTAAATTTGCATAATAGTCGTATTAATGGTTTTCTTTGTAGGTGTATGGATATTATCCCATCAATGACAACGTTGTGCTTCAGGATAGATATTGAAATATTCTTTTTGACGATGAATGCAACGCCATTCCTCTTCCAGTTGTCATTCCCAGCATAGTAGACCATATGATTGTCTGATTCAAAATGACCAATACCATTCCATTTCAGCTCATTAATGTCTAGGATATCGATATTTATGAGTTCCATTTCATCTTTGACAATTTCCAATTTTCGTAGATTCATACTTCATACATTCCGTGTTCCGATTATTAACGGATGTTTGCAGCTGTTTCTTCTGATTTTGAGTCATGCCACATCAACAAATGAAGATCTTGAAAGCTTGACTCCATCCATGTCATTAAGGTCGACTCTACTTTGAGGAGGTGGCTCTTCCCCAGTTGTATTTTGAGTGCCTTCCAACCTGAGGGGCTCATCTTCTGGCACTATATCAGACAATGTTCTGCTACTATTCATAAGGTTTTCACTGACTAATTCCTTTCAGAAGTAGACTACCGGGTCTTTCTTCCTAGTCTTTTTTAGTCTGGAAGCTCAGCTGAAACCTGTCTACCATGTCTAACCCTGCTGGTATTTGAATACCAGTGGCATAGCTTCCAGCATCACAGCAACACACAAGCCCGTACAGTACAACAAACTGACAGATGCATGGGGGATAATTCTATTACAACTTATTATTTCAGTGTATGTTTCTTGACCATAGAATCTAATATTACAGCCTGAAATCTATATGAATGATCAATTATTGCTTTCTCTCATTCTTTTGAAGAGTTAAATGTAAACTACTATCTAATCCTCCATCTTTTAAAAGGATCGTAGATCCTCAAAAATTATTAAAAAGGGGAAAATTGTCTCCTTTATCAAACAGTTTTCCACCTTGACATTCCTTAAATGTTCCTTCCTCAGATTTTTATTGGTGAAATATCCATGTATTTCATAAAGTCAACCAGAGAATCCTTGATTGCCCAGGAGAAAACAATTTTAACCGGAGAATGCTGTTACCTGAACCCCTTACTCCGAAGGATCATAAGGTTCATAGGTAAGTACAAGAGCATGATGAACTGGTCCTTTGCTTATAGGTAAAATTTACTAATGGTGAACATGCTTGGTAAAATCAACTAAGCTACAGAAGCAGCAACTTAATTCCTGGCCACTTTGGGGGTTTCCCAGGCAGTACAGAAATTGAGCCTAATCCTATAATTTGGTGTCCAGTCAAATTTTTGAAGTGTAACAGTACTTATTAAATTATTTCATGAATGATTTCAACTTTGATTTTTTTTCCCTATACAACATTTATCTGAGAATCCCTCTGGGCTTATCTTTTAATATTGACTGGGTATTGCCATATACCCTTAGCCAAGTCAGGTGAAGAGGGGAGCAGTGAAGAACAGTAAAATGAATTTAGAAATAATCAGATTTTTCTGACAATGATTTCCCATATAGTAATTTTGTTATATAGGGAATTTGACAAAGTGTAGGAAACCTAATCTTTTGGGTACTTGAAAAAAATGCCTTTCCAAAGTTGGAAAACGATTAGCTAACATCAGTGTTCATGATAAGGGATATGAAGGCATGTTCTACAAACCTCCTTCTGAGACTATCATAAAAATTCCTGGGGTGATATGGATGATAATTATAAATATGGGAATTAATATGTGTATGGGTACAGGTAAGAATAGACAACTTGAATATAGAGCTTTCAGTACAGTCTCTACACAGTAAGTACTCAATACGTGATAACTATTACAGTGTTCTCACAAGTATCCTGCAAAAACCAACTGACTGACCTGATCTTTATGCAAACCCCAAAAAAACTCCCAAAGTGTGAACATGGCAGGTATTAAGACAAGCCATGATATCATTTAGAACATATAGAACTAATAACTAGGAAAGTAAGGACCAGACACAGCATGTGCTTAAATCTTTTGGTAGTCCTTTATCCTTTTTTTTTTTTTTTTGTACAAAAGGATTGAATTGCCTGAAATCAGGAGCAAGTGACCATATCAAAATCAAATATGCAATAACTTCTCTTATTTAAGTGAGGATAAGGGAAGTGGTAGAGCAGACAGCCTAGTAAGATCTAGTTTTAAAAAAATGAACCTTAAAATAAAATAGTCTTAGGCATTTACTGATGGTATTGGCAGAATAGCCTGTGGAAGTCTGCAATTGGCTCATCAGGTAATGAACATGATGCCTAGTGTCTAGTCCACTCATTCCAAACAATGGTGCCTTTCAAAGATGTCCAAAGTTTAATGACTTCTCACCAGAGTGGCTAGATAGTAAATCATGACAGGAAAAGAGAAGGAGGAAAAAGACTATTTATTATACAGGAGCTAGACAGTTCATATACATTATTTCATCAAATCCTTCTAACACTCCATAAAATAGGTTAGAGTCCTAATTTTACAGGTGAAGAATCTTATATACAGTGTTGTGTGTGTATATGTGTGTTTTGTGAGAATTCATGTACATAATTTGATTTTATGACCACCATCTGATCTGCTTCCTGCACAGACAATTAAAGCAAGTTTTTCAAAGCAGGAGGTTATTCAATTACAATTAAATGGAAATATCGTCAAGAGTCACTGATTTTATCCTTGGCAAAAATTAGCCACACCTAATCTGGGGACTAGGGATATTAAAGGCATGTTCTAGAGATTTCCTTCTGTAACTTATAAAAACTCCTGGGGTGATAAGAATAATAATTATAATACAGTACAATACCCCTTACCAGGTACTGTGCCAAGCACTTTTTATCCTTTAATCCTTACAACATCCTGCTAAAAAAAAAACAAACCCATTGCTGTCGAGTCGATTCCAACTCATAGCGACCCTATAGGACAGAGTAGAATTGCCCCATAGGGTTTCCAAGGAGAAGCTGGTGGATTCAAATTGCTGACCTTTTGGTTAGCAGCCACGCTCTTAACCACTGCACTATCAGGGCTCCTTGATGATTATAGATAAGGAAATTAACATGTAACATCCCTTCAATATCTCATGGCAAAGACTAGCCACACTAACCCCAGCTGGGGCAGTGTCCAAAGAATGGAAATTTTAACTGGCATCTCTCATTTATATAGGCCTGCCTGTATGCATGAGAAGAGCAAGTTTATGTCTTTGTGTGGTGTGACTTGAGGGATGTCAGAAGGTTCCCACCATCTAGGAATGAATCCTCCAGATTGGCTGTTGTGGTGCCTGAAATTCTGACTTCAGTCACTCACTGCCTTGGACCAAGACATGGTTTCAGGAAGACCACAGTTAACATATACTTTTGTCACCCTGGGCAGATTCCCACATTCATAATCAGTGACACATTCATCCATTTGGGTTTATCATAAGCTAACAGAGAGCTGGATCTTGGGAGCAGCCAGGGACATTCAAATTAGGTCAGTTAAAGTTCAGCAGCATGAGGTGCTGCTTGTAAGGAAGGGATGATAGGGTGGCTAGAGGGCAGGGGGCAACATGTAGACCTTGGAGAACTAAAGGAAACAGCAGGGGAAGGGAATTGCTGAATAATGAAGTGCCTACTTCATGCTTTCCCTCTTGTTTTATGGCACCAGCACAACCTGGTTGTTCAAGTCAAGAACCTGAGAGCCACCCCAAGCTTGTTCTTCCTTCAGTCCTTACATCCAGTTAACTACTGTTGTTGTTGTTAGATGCTGTAGAGTTGGCTTAGACTCACAGCAACTCTATGTGAGAGAGTAGAACTGCCCCATAGTGTTTTCTGGGCTGTAATCTTTATGGAAGCAGATTGCCAGGTCTTTCTCCTGCAGAGCCGCTGGGTAGAAACTCTATGAGGCAGTTCTGCTCTGTTCTGTAGGGTCACTGTGAGTTGAAATCAACTCAATAGCAGCGGGTTTTTTTGTTTTTATTTTTGTTTTTGTTTTTTTTAGTCCTGAATAGTTACCTTTTTTTGAGTTTAAAAAAAAAATTGATCTAAATATACAGGATTAGACTGTCTATTAGCACCTAAAATAGCATGTCTTCCTGAAACTGGTTATTATGGTCTTTTCCTTTGGTATCACATACTGGACCCATTATTACTTCTAATAAAATTTTAATTAAATACCAAGCAAGTCTTATGCCATTTAGGTCAGGTCCAAAGATTAGGTAGCACTGGACAGAATAAAAAGTGACCTAGTAAACAGTTAATTCATATAACACTAATTAATTGCCATAAATTAAGTGTGATCTAAATGAGGCATGAATATTTTAAATGCAGTTTCAAAGGTCACAGTGTTTTATGGTTGTAAGAATTGATACTCTGAGACAAGCTTAATGTCAGCCTTTTCAAGAACTGGAAAATCCTTCTCAATTTCAAAAATCATTTAAATGTACTTTATCTGAAAAGAGAATTTATTTTATACAATCAGTTCATTTCTACTTGCATTCAGTATTTATAATTAAATTACAGGCCAGAGGACTGATCATATTCACTCAACCTTCAACAAAGAATTTATTGAGCATCTACTATATGCCTGATACTGATTGAATACTGAGGACATATTAGTGAAACAAAACACAAATAAAATTGTCCTCATTGAGTTTATATTCTAGTGAGGAAAGCCAGACATTAAACAAACAAACAAAAAAAATAAGTAAACTATGGTGTTTTTTAGAAAGTAAGTGCTGTGGAGAAAACAGAAGATAGGGAAAGGGAGTTTTGGGGAACAGATACATACTTTAAATGGAGGGAAGATGTCATACAGTGCAAATAATTTCTAGATTTGGCAGTGACTTCATGACAGGATGGAGTAATCAGGACAGGGACTGTCCCTGACTCTTCATTTACCCACTCCAGGAGATGTGGTGCCCAGAGAACCAGGCCAGCTCCCTGTGCTGATTCCAAAAGTCCAGCCCACCCGGGTAGTCTTAAAGTAGTTCACAGGGCCCCAGGCACTTGACTTTTGTTATGAACCAAGAATCTAGTCTTTGAAAGAAAAATGTTAAGAGCAAGGCAGGGTATGGACCTATAAGTAGCTGGAGATGTTTCTAGAACTCAGCAACAGGAACCAGAGTTGAAGCTCAGATAAACAGGTCAGAAGGAGAGAGTCAGGATGGGTCTTAGGGAAAAAAGAAAAAAGGAACCCCAGTGTTTAGACCCCATGAGCAGCCAGGCCACCAGATTTTGAGACTAAGATGTTTGGTCATTCCTACCAGGAATCTGATGGGTGAGGTTCAAGGACATAAGGGAGAAGGGATGCTGAAGCTGGGTGCCATGGTTGGCCTAAAAGGCATTGTCTTAGGCATCTAGTGCTGCTGTAACAGAAATACCACAAGTAAATGGCTTTAACAAAGAGAAGTTTATTCTCTCACAGTCCAGTAGGCTGTAAGTCCAAATTCAGGGCATCAGCTCCAGGGGAACACTTTCTCCATTGGCTCTGGAGGAAGGTCCATGTCATCAGTCTTCCCTTGGTCTGGGAGCATCCCATTGCAGTAACATCGGGTCCAAAGGACGCACTCTGCTTCTGGCACTGCTTTCTTCGTGGTGTGAGGTTCCCATGTGTCTCTGCTCCCTTCTCTCTTTTATATTTCAAAAGAGATTGGCTTAAGACACTATCCAGTCTTGTATACCTCATCAGTATAACTGCCGCTATTCCATCTTATTACATCATAGTGATAGAGTTTACAACACATAAGGAAATCACACCAGATTACAAAATGGTACACAATCATACGATACTGGGAATCATGACCCAGCCAAGTTGACAGATATTTTTGGGGGACACGATTCAATCCATGACAGGCATAGATAGCCTGGGGTCAACCTTTATTCAGGTCTCAAGGAGTTGTGATGAGGCTGCTTTTGGCTGCTGTGCTCAGTGTAGAGACAAATCCACTGCCCTTTGAATGTCATCCTCTGTGAACCAGAACATCGCAGACTTGAACAAGACTCCTAGCCTAGAACTCTGTAGATCACCCTTGTTATCGAGAGGAAGGTTAGTCATATGTGACTCTAGTCATCCTTTGCAAAGGGCCCTCCCCAGCACCAGTGTTTAGATACTGGACTCAGAAGGACTAATTGAGCAGGGAGCTGCT